GCGCGCGCGAGCCAGCGAGCGTTCTTTGCTCTCGGTTCCATATTTTACCCACGCGAATAAAAGAGATACTCGCGCGCGAAAGAATCGAAATCGCGGCGGAAACAATGAATCCGTAGAACGCGGCGGAAACGGGTCTCGTCGAAAGCCGATTCGCAAGAGTCGGTAATGGGCGAATCGATTCGTCTATGTTTACTTGTATCTCAGTAAACGAGTACGTTTACCTCTTTCTCTCTTTGTCTCTCTGGAAATACGGGAGGGGAACAAGGGACGTTCTTGTCGAGCCGTTTATAAATCCTTTGAAAACGCTTTATCCCGAATGAGTATGAAAGGAAAAGAGTAGGGAGAGAAGAAGAAAATAGGAGGTGAAAGAAGAGAGAGAAAGGGCGAGGGGGAGAAAGAGAGAGGAGAGTTTCGAGGAAGCTCTTCCGAGCGGGACGATGGAATATCTCGCTTGAGAGTGGTAAACAAGGAGGCGAGAGTGGCGACGAAACGAGGTTGGCCGAGCAACCGCGAGGTCAGTGACTAAAGAGAGAAATATCGTGGAATGCGATATAGCTACGCTGCTCTGCCTATTGACGTTCCGTGGACCTTTTACCAAGGAGGAGGTAGGCGGTGGCGACGATAGACAGCGACTCCGATCTTGCGCGCTCGTAATCTCTTCTCTCCTCGTGAAATTCAAACGCCAACGTACCACGTATATACACGTATATACATATATATCCAGAATGTATATATGTATACGCGCCCCCCCGTTTTATCTGTCCCCCGCTACACCACCGTACTTCCTATTCGTCCGTCTTTCTCTTTCCCCTTTAGTCCTGAACCATTTTTACACCCCGATTTCTCCCTACTCACCCCATAAAGATACACACTCACACTCGCGATCACAGTCACGCGACGCGTTCCAACTACGCACACGATTCTCCGAGGGAACATTGACATCGTTGTTTGGACGCGTACGCGAAACCACGCGGCGCGCACGTCGCTTCTACGAATCGATCTTTATCCGGTTCCGAAGGAAACCCGAGACCGGCGATATCCGTGATCGGTCGTATGTCACTGCGCGTTTCCTTTGTCATCCACCTACTAGTGTAGATATAGCGAGTACTTCGCCGTCGACTTTAACCGTCGTACGACGAGAAATGAAAGAGTATCGAAAAAGGTGTGGGTCATCGAAATTCTGACGGTAGACGATAACGTTTGAAGAGAAGAGGAATTCTCGATCGGCGTGCTCCATCGAGAACGCGCGTCCTTCGATTCCGCGCGCGGCGATTGTCGTCGCACGCTCACGTTGGCTCAACGACGGCCCATGCTCCGAAAATATACGCGACGCGTTCGCGACATCCTACCACACGACGCGACACAATGACAACGGACACACGCGTGTCTTCCTATCGAACAAAAATTCCACGAGATATCGACTCACCGTGTCGGCCCGTTGGCGGAACGACTCCCCGACTCCCGGATGTTCCTCCGTCGAAACGTCCAGAGACTCGAGGACGATCGAGACTCGATCGATGACACTGGAATATCGGTCAGTACCGCGACGACACTTGTTCCGCGTAAACACGAGTACTACGATCACCACACGAGTACACGTAAACGCACCAGAAAACGACACGAGGTGGTTCGCGGTCGAGTTCTAGAACCGCGATGAAACTTCGTTGACCCCGCTAGAAAAATTTCCACGAACGACGACGTTACCGTCGTCGTCGTCGTCGTCGTCGTCGTCGTCGTCGTCGTCGTCGTCGTCGTCGTCGTCGTCGTCGTCGTCGTCGTCGTCGTCGTCGGCGGCGTCGTCGGCGTTGTCGACGTCCTCACGAAAAGCACGCGTGAAATGCGTCCCGTTGCGCGGTACGACTCATTCTGAGCCACGGTACCGCGGCTCCTTCCGAAGAAAAATCACGATTACTCGGGACGCAGATTCCCCGCACGAGTCGCATACAAGTTGTTTACTAGAACGCGCACCACGCCATGCCCCGTGAACGGCCGTCCGCCTCCGTATCCCCCTCGCCCAACCGAGCAAAACAAGACTCTGCGCAGTAGCCTCGCGCGCACCTTCCGGGCCATGTTCGCACGAGCCGATGTGTGCGCCC